CCCCAAAACCCCAAAACCCCAAAACCCCAAAACCCCAGTTAATTCATAGACAGAAATAAGGAAAATAATATATTGTTAATATAATGTGAAATTAATGATAGCGTTAGATTATAGCACTACTTTGAAATGATGATAACTTAATTATTTACAATATTCGATTCATATCCGATTGCCATTCTCATCTATTTAGATGAGGTCAGGCAAATGGATTATTTCAGTTACTGCTGGTAAACCTATTAATGAAGTTAGCCATGTTAGGATGATCTATGGTCATTCGTGTCCAAAAGTCAGGAACCTGGGGTTTGACTTCGAAAAAAAGACCTTGACTCGGTAGCGTTACTCCTTCAATGAATGATGTTGGAACTGGAATTATATCGTAATAACGTAATATCTCCTTATAGTGATCCTTGAATATAACCTATTCTCCCCTTAAGATTTTTTAGGTGCTTGGAACTCTGTCCAAGAAAAATATTGGCTTGACGTCAAAAGTATCAGGTTATGGTCTGTTATTATTAGAAATTGGAGAAATTTGAGAAACATCTTCTTCGATCTCTTTCTCATCGTCATGAGGGGATGCTGTAATATTGCTTACGCTAGAATAGCAATGAGTTGAATCGTTGAAATTCTGGGAATCTTCAAAGCTATCTAGAAGTTTTTTGTTTGACCTAGCACGATCTGACTGAACTTTTCTTAGACCTAATAGTGAATTTGCTGCTTCTCTAATCTCTTCTGTAATTTTTTCATAAGAGTGGTCTTGAATAGATAACCTCAGCATTGGCTTATTTAACCTTTGTAACTCCTTCTTCGTTCTCTTGCTATTAGTCTTTTTTGCCTTTTCTTTTCTAATCTGCTTTGTCATCTACTGACTCATGATGGGAGAATTTTATAATTAAAGTTGTTTAGGTGAGTCTTCACTTTTGTGGACTTTGATTAATTGAATTTGTTCTTTTGTTCTCATGTTTGTGAATATAATGATGTAAGTTATTGGATGATTTATTTATTAATTATTGATTGATTTTATCACTTTAGCTAAAGAATAATTCGCTTCACGGGGTTTTGGGGTTTTGGGGTTTTGGGG